ACACTGTCTAGGATATGTATGAGTGCAAATACAAGCATCACAGTGTTACAACCTTGAACTCAAGTCATCCACCTACCTTCTGGTGGCAATGCTAACATGGGCGTGGCAGAGGCGGTGGGTGTGGTGGGTATGGGTGTGCAGAACTCAGCAAACATGTCTTTGGTCATTGCTCTCAGCTCACGGTCCAGCTTAGGATTGTCAAAGAGCGGAGCCAGCGACCTTCAAACAAACCCCAAAAAGACAGCATTAGCAATCTCCTGATCAAATGTAGAGTTTGTTGAAACTAGAGGTGAAATCTGTGGTCAATATCATAGAACTTCTCAGAAATAAGCCGAGATATAGTAACTAGCAAGAACTGGCTATCAGTCATCATGTGAAGAGATAGGTCATGTCGAAATTGGCTACAGATGGAAAAAACCCATTAGGAGCCACAAACCAGAGACTTGTGCATTCCACTGAGTTGTACATATCAGTAACAGGCCTAGAAAAGTCATTCAGACAAGGATGTGACTGCTGGTGACTGCTTCTCAGCTAACCTGCTTAGCTCTTAGATTTGACCAATGATGTTAACTATTAAGCAACTACAAGAGTTAGGCTTTTACATCTTTGATTTCACAGACTTACTGTAACACTTTCTTCTCTAGGAGAAATCTTAGGGCAGACATGACACCTTGTCTGATCTGTTGCTCCATCGGAGGATAAAAATTCGGAATTATCTGCAGAACAAAAAAACAGCAATCCTTCTTTTATCAGCAGTAAATCCACGACATCCTTGATAAGAAATTCTATCTCTTGGAGACTCCTGAAAGTATACCTTATATAAAACTTTAATAAAGATAAAGCTTTAATAAAGATATTGACCTAAATTTAGTGCTTTAATTTTGTTTTAATTATACATCTTCTTTTCTGTAAAGAGATTTTTGAGAATGATGAACTCACTCTGCAGAGGAAGTCTAACAGGGTTGCGGTGATGGCTGGATGCGATCTCATAGAATGATGCATAACAAGAATGGCAGGCTCTGAAAGGCAGACATTGCATAATTATTGTCACGTACAAAGCATGCTACTGGAATGCAATCATACTACTGACTTTGCTCAGCTATTTGGAGGGTATCAGCCACATCTCCTACTTACCGATATCCATTATATTGCCTCTTGATGGATTAAAGAGTAGCCAATCATAGAACAGTGCTAGCTTGGCACATGACGCTGCGGCATTGGACTAGGACAGAAAATAAACAGATTTGATGAGGTTCTCAGCATTGTTCCAAATACAATAAAAGCTGTCTAACACCAGCTCATGATATCAAACTTCTATTTATTAACTTTAGGTTTATTCCTTGATTTCTAACGACAACTGAAACAAAAATATATGACGGGGAAGGAAGTGTGAGAAATCTGAAAGATGTGCACGAACACTTACTGTGCATGTGGTGAGTAGCCAGCCAATGACAGCCCAGCGTTGGATGATGTCAGAGCACAGTACCTCATTGGATGGGTGGACCGTACAACAGATGTACCGAATCAAATCACAGCGAAGTGATTGGCTCTCAGGAGTGGATAGATACTGAACAAGAGATGAGAAGGGTGGGGGGTAACCCATCATGTTTGGGAAATTGCTAGAAACTTCTAAAATGTTACTCAGGTAGGAATAGAACCAAGTACCATTCATTCATGGGTAAAGATACCATATAAAAGGTATATTTTTTCCAAGTGACTTGATTTGGTGCTGATTTGTCTGACACAAAGTTTCTAAGACTTACTTGCTTCTGGAACCAATCTTGATATCTTTTCTGTTGTCCAAACCGAACCTTGCAAACACAAATAAAAATGAGGCTACATTAATGTTTAAACATGACTGATTTTACGAACTTGTTTTGTTACTTCTTGGAAGGGATATTGAGAGAGGGTTGTGCATAAAGAAAGAAAACAGGGAGTGGAAAATGATTACATTCATTCATTTCTTTCACTATCGATGCAGAATACTCTTAATGGAAAAAGTAAATAGACACCCCCCCCCAAAAAAAACCTACAAGCCCCAGCAGCAGATTACCAATCTCCAACATGGTGGGGTGGAAAAAATAACTGATATTGCTTAAAGCCCAAGAAATTTAGGGAAGAAATCTCTCTGATCATTAAAGTTAAACACAGAGCAGTAGACCAATCGTGTGTTCTTTGTGCTTCAAATAATCCTGAGATATCAATCAGATTGTCAAGAAATGGTGCCTCGCTTGTGCAGACCTAAAATCATTCCTCACAGTAAAACTGACCATTGGATTTGAGCCAATGGGGACGGCATTTGTGTCAAGGATCACGCAATACCCTACCCACCTTGGATGTGAGGAATATGATTTTCTTCTCCATCTCTGGAGTGAGACGGCACGCCAGGTATTTGGGAGATGTTCTCTGGTTCATGAGCTGAGCTACGCCTGAAATAATGAAAACAAAATCAAGCCTCAATGTGGTATTGATTCTAAAAATGTTAAGAGTGCACAATGTCTATTCACCGTGGGTAATACTGGGCCACGAACCCATGTCAAACTAATAATAATCTTTCACATGCATGTATCAACTTGAACATTCTGACTGGTGAAAAATGATTGGAAACCAACATTCTCAGTTGGCAAATTTTGCCTCAGTATCAGAGCAAGTACAAATCCAAGCAATTATTTGAAAATCTGATTCTAGTACTCACCTGTGAACTGTGGAGTCATGTCAGTACTCACCTGTGAACTGTGGAGTCATGCCAGAACTCACTTGTGACCTGTAAAGTCATGTCAGTACTCACCTGTGAACTGTGGATTCATGCCAGTACTCACCTGTGAACTGTGGATTCATGCCAGTTCTCACCTGTGAACTGTGGAGTCATGTCAGTACTCACCTGTGAACTGTGAAGTCATGTCAGTACTCACCTGTGAACTGTGGAGTCATGCCAGTACTCACCTGTGAACTGTGAAGTCATGTCAGTAATCACCTGTGAACTGTGGAGTCATGCCAGAACTCACCTGTGAACTGTGGAGTCAAAGACTGTGGTCTGTGCATCATGTCCTTCCACAGTTTCTCAAATTCTGGTATTCTGGCAACATTCTGTAGTAATCTTAACAAGTCTCGACCTATTCTGCAGCATTCCATAAACTGTGGATACAGAGAAAAGAACCAAGTATATCTACAGAGGGCAGACTCAAAATAAAAACTGATCAGTGAAAGATAAGGAGGTGTAGCACTCAAGTACATGTGATCAACCAAGACCGACTCCCAGGACTCCAAAAAGGAAAAATGTTTATGGTGGTTGAACTTTACTCACACAAGCTAACCATAGCAACCTCTTCAAAAACATGTCTTTAAACATGAATTAGGGTCCAACATACTGGAAAAGTCTTCACATCAAATAATGAAATTCAGAGAACCTATAATAAAAAGATGACCTATTCATGAATGGCACTGACCTTTGACCTCAGTAGACCAATACAAAAATCCACTTCTCTCTGTCGGAGGTTGGCAAACATCTGTAAGCTGTGGTCTTCAATGATTCGTAGATATGTGTACAAAACCATGGCCATTAAGACAGGGTACTTGTCCAACCATGCTCTGTCAAAAAAAAACAATCAAAAATATTTTTTCTTGAGAAGTAGAGTACAAAACTAGAGTGCCTACTTTCAAAAAGCTTGGTTTTATCGTCAGTTTCCTTCAAAAGAAAAACTGACTAAACCTCATTTGTGTTTCCTTTGCAAGAACAATGGAGCTTACTTATTTTCTGTGAAGAGATCCAGCATTGCCTCAGCCAGCGAGACATTCTTAGGAGTGATGTCACCACCTGAAAATTGGAAATTACGACTGTGTGTTGAGCATCTACTAGCCTCCAAACATACACATGCAAGTACTTGAAAATGACATTGTTTGAAGTTGTCAGAAAAGACTTTCAATACTGCAGCAGGATGGAGCATTAAAAATCAAGAAAAGTGCTGGAATTTCCGTAAGGAGTTTGAGTACAAGTTTTGAGCAATGTTCTCGTGCCATTATTTTAAATGTGTGGGATAATACATGTATGTTTACAGTGTGGATGCAGGAAACCAAAATAGTACAGGTTATGTGGTGACAAATAGGGTAAGTATTCGGGGGTGGGGGGTGGGAGAGGGGAAGGGGTAGTATAAAAAGGACCTTACCAGCAATTTGCTTGATTAGCGAAGAGCAAACGTTGACAACACCTGTCACTGAATTCTTCACCATCTCCTTGGTTACCCACACGAGCTGTGACCAATCAAGTAAGAGGGCATTTGTCTGTGAGCTCAAGTGTCATGACCATTCAGTGCAATGCACTTTGGTGCAAGAAAATCTTTGCTTCATCACATCAATTTGATAAAATTGCAACAAATTATACTTTGGCATGAAAAAATATTTCGCTGCAGGTAAATACAAAATTATGGCTGTGGCAGAAGTTTAAAGCCATTAAATCCAACTAGAGTAATGAGGAGAATATTGAACGGAGTTCGGTTAAACAATTCCCTATCAAAGCTGCAAAATGAAACTAAGTTTACTGACCTGTGTCCTGGCACCATCTTGAAGTTTTGTGTACTTATCAACAACAATCTGATTCAACTTGTTCCAAGCCAGTGACAGTCCATCTCTTGAAATCAGTGCCAAGTCTCGATATGTCTGCATCAAAGGAAATGAAAAAGTTTCAGGGTTCTGCCCTTCACTGTTAAATCCCAAGCACTCAAATGCTCATAGCTTTCCACGAACTTGTGAGTGATAGCATCCTCAAGCTTCCTCAGATGCGACACAAAGCTTTGACTTCCTGCCTTCTGGAGCAGGTGTTTTAAACATCTGTCCACTGAATTGGTAATATAATTCCATTGAAGAGTGGGTTCTGCAACAAATGTCCTAGCAGCTTTACTTGAGGGGAGGCATTTGAACAAAATCAAGTTTATAGTTTCAACATTACATAGTGATGGCTATTTGTTTGTATTTCTATTTACCTTTGGAGCTGTGGCAGGGTTAGTAAGAATACTGTAGAGTAGCCCTAAAGTGATATCCTCATGTTCCTTCATACCTTTACACACCTGTTTGGGGGAAAGTTTGAAAATTGAAACATTAATGTAGGTTTATGAATTGTGGCCCATTCCCCAATACCAGATATGGAATGTGGACTATTGAGCACAGGGTTCGAAATTCACGACAGCCAGTGCCGTCGATGTCCTTTTACTTGCTGTGATGCCCCTTGGAAAATTGCATTGTTCATGGCCACTTTTGCTGTGCCTTATGCACACTTTGGCTGTTGTGCCCTTTCCAGTGAGTTGTCAAAATAATTAACGATAAATTCAGCCCAGCGCTAGCGCTCGTCGGCCGCGCCAGTCAGCGAGACCATACCTCGAGCGATCGGGCTTGCACAGCCCGCATGATATACGGCCACATTGCCTTCACTCACGCAAACACATATTCACAAAATTTCTTAAGCAGCGAGCTGTTACTATAGTTATGCGCACCCCATGCGTTACAGGCCAAGCCACTGTGCGGTACATGGACTGTCCAGAGGGGGTAGCGTTGACTGTTCAACTTCATGTAGCAATGAACATCGTGCGTGCCAGCAAGCACAGACCCACACCCCTTACGGATTGCTAAGTGCGGTGTCCCATAATGCATTGCTGCATATACCACTATTGCACACTTTCACATTGATCCGCTGCATGTGCGCAAGCACAAACCCGTACCCTTACGGATATGTGTAGCTAATCGGAGTGTCCCATAATGCATTGTTACATATACATGTACATGTACCACCAGTGCACTCTGCATTGATCCGCGTCACGTATAGTACGAGCTTCAAGGGACGCAGACCAGCCTCGTGGAATCGAAGTTTTCCTATCGGTACCGGCCCGCTGTCAGTTTGTACGACATGCGACAATGCCTAGGAAAGAACGTTTCCTTTCAAAAGGAGCTCTGCAACTCGGCTACGAAATGCAAGAAATTGGATTTTTCTTAATGCATGGGTAAGTGGTGGTGTCATCGTGTGTAGTTCCGAGATTGGCAATGTGGACGGCACCGTGATTTCCCAAAATCTGTGCCTGGTGAAGATGCGGCCACGCCGGCAATGCAGGCGTCCAAATATATCTCCCGCCCTCATTGCTGGCAACAAACAAAAGTAAAGGGTAGAAAAGGGGAAAAGGACAGCAGAACTTGTTAACCTTTATTGCTCTTGATTTCATGTCAGGGTGGAAAGCCTAAGGGGACGGCATGTCAGGGTGGGAAGCCTAAGGGGACGGCAGGGTTCTTGGATACAGTGTAGATTATTCAACTGGTAACTTGAAAGTCTAAAAGTCAACAAAAGGGATGTTCACACATTTTCAAGTGTTAGGAAAAATGTTTAATTAATTTGATGATCATTTATGTGCAACTCATGCCCTGTTCATAGAGTATAACAATTCCTGGTGTTAGGTTTTTGTCCCCTTTTTTCCACAATAAAGCAAAAGAATGCATTTTAGAGGTTGAACGGATTGCGTTTTGACAAATTCGCCTTTGGGCCCTAATCAATTTTCGACAATGGCCTCCGTGCCCTTTTAAGTGGCCCTGGTGCCCCTGGAAATTTTTACTTCTCCAAGGCCAAAATGGCCTAGGCCCCTAAAAAACAAATTTCGAACCCTGTGAGCACATGTTCCCTTCCCTTTATGACAACTCAAAGGAAGCATAGAGAGGTAAAACCTCCCCAAAAAGCAAAAACATTTATCACTCTTGTAACTAAGCCATTTTCAGATTTCATGTGTCAATTAAATTCTTCTTGAGATCTCAGATTACAGTTTCTTCAATTCATTGTATCAGTGGGCAAAATTAAGTGATTTACATTTTAAGTTCAAGACTAAACCACTAATGTTTGCCTAAAATTTGTGAAAAGAGGCAGTAAATCTATTATCTAGTGACATGGCTTAGGCAGTTAAATGCTTGGCTTGTTGACAAACGAGGAATAGTGAACTGTCATTGAATGGATTATTCTATATTCTGGTATATAGAACTGTTTTTATCAATGTTCATGATCGGTTTTAGAAGTCAACTTTCTGAAAGGCTGAGCCAGAGAAACCATTAGTGCTGGAATCAATACTCACCGCTGCATTCAATGAATCATGAACTTCTCTCTCAGACAAGCTACCCATTACCTTTGCAACAAACTCAAAACCTTTCTCCATTTTCTGCAAGAAAAAAATTAAAATTGGTGACATGTTTACTCATGTTCATTGACCATCTTTCAAAAGAAATCTGCACAAGTTCTAACATCATGTCAAATCTTTCAGGCAAATCTCAAAAAGCCTCAAAATGTCATTTTACAGAATGTTACGGCCATCAATTTTTTTATCAAAGTTTTCATTATTTAAATTCTAGATTCACTTAATTGAATTAAATCAACAGATTTCTGTTATATTATGTAATGACATTCACAGCCTATGCAACACACAAGCAAAAAAAGCTAAATTACTTACTGCATCAACGTTACACATTTACAAGTGATTGTTAAAAAGAAAGGATACTTGGAGGTCCAGATGTCAGAAATAATTTTTCCTCCTGTACATATGAATACATTTTTTAATAATTTGAAATTAAACATGTTGATAGTGCAATAAATATATGGCCTTTCCTTCTTCCAAGAATGATGAAAATACGAGAGCTTTTTTGGAAGGGTCAAAACCATGGGGTCCAACAACTCAAGATAACAACACAAAACTCGACAACCAACACTTGCATCCTACACAAACTTAATGGCGACCGAATTGTCGATCATAGGCCTACTTTACCGTTGCGTTGGCCAACACAAGAGAAAGATACAAAATATTACCTCTTCGAGCTCATCCTTCAGCTCAATAGCGGAATTAATGAATAGTTTCGATTTCTTGGGTTCCTCCATGGTGCTTAGATTAACAAAATGTTCGCACTCGTCATAAAATGGGACGAAAAGTTGCCATTCAGGCCGTGGGTTTCATCTCGTGTCGGCGTCCATTTTCTTTACTTGCGCCCTCTATTGGTAACACTTAGTAAGCTAGCCAGTCTGCCATTCATTTTCCAACGGGCAAATGTATCAGGCTTCGCGGTAGGCGCTGTTAATATAGTTCGAAAACCCCAAATAAGGTGATACATCACAAAGAAGACAACAAGATTTGCTAATTTTTGGCAAATTATGGCCATAGAAATTAATTTTTGGTTGTTTACNAAAGCACTCTTTTTGAAATTTAGAATTATAATTCACAGCAACTACACTTTTCCGGCCGGCATGGCACTTCGCCCATGCTCCTTAGCTGTACGGAGAACATGCCACTTTGTTGAAAAATCGAGTGGTATTTCTTCATAAATCTTGATTTTTGGCTCTAATCTTGTCCGTGGTGTTGAAAGCCCTCTGACAGTGAGAAGACAAGGACTGTACGTGTAAGACAACTGAGAGGAGGACCTTACGCTTTTTTATGTTTCGAGTCGTTATTCAATGGATTTGAACGAAATAAACTTCTATCAATTCAGGGGTTAGTTTTCCTCGGGGTGCCCCCAAGTCATGACTGCACTGCTAAAAACAATAGTATAGCCCCACCCATCCGATGATCCAATGCACCGACCAGGCCGGGCAGCGAAGCCCCCGGCCGGGGCTAGCTTGAGATTGAGACTTGATTCTATTTTTAGAATGACATCATCGACCATTAAACTTAAAGATATGATTGGCTGCTAAATATAGCTCAGGGTTCCACATAAAACAGGAGTCCCCAACATGGCGCAACAGCATCAACGCTTCCGTCCACATAAACACCGGTTCTGGCTGCTTTCCCTCAGAATCTGGAAGTGCAGTTCGCTGGCAAACATCAGGCTGTTAGTTGGTGTTACTTGATTCCTCAAAATGACGACCGATGTATACATTAAATTGACATCGGGCCGGGTATATCATATGCCCGTCCCGAAGTACGAGACGGTCCGTCAAGTATGCGAGAAAGTAGCGGTGGAGGAAGGGGTGCCTGGCAGCAGTCTACGGCTGAAATATACCGGCAAAGTGCTGAACAAAGACCATACGATGGATTACCTCGGTGTTCGACCTGAAACGATTCTTAAATCTGACGTAAGTCTGTTGTCCTCTAACTTGATTTTTTTTAAAATCCCGTCACTGCCCGTAAAAGACATCTTTGACGAACATTCCTGAGTTAGATGGCCAGTGCCCTTTGCTATGCAGTCACCTCCACAAACTGGGGCATCAAATCAAAGCCTGTGTTACAAATGTCATATTGGATGGCCTCAAACCATAAACATACTGCACAGTACTGTTGCATTTTTGGAGGACTTGGAGGTAGCCAGGAGCCATTTGTAAAGTAGATTTCATACCCGAAAAAAATGTAAAGCTATGATTTGAAATTCTGATTGCATCTTATATGCTTACAAATTTGTACATTGTATAGCAATATAAATTTTGGCATGGTTTTTGTGCAAGAGGTGACTGGTGTTTGTGTCGGACAGCATGTAGTCCACAATCCATTTCCTCTTAAGCAAGGAAATCCTGTATACTGCACTTGTAGGAAGTTAAATGAGGAATTTCACCTGGAGGTCTGTCAGACTACCTTGATCTGTATGGTAAAGGGCATGACAGATCTCCTGTTTGCTGTGTAGAGGTGACTAATCCAGCAAACACATTTGTCAAAAACGTAACAAGGAAAGACTACATGCATGTGTACTTTAAAATGGATTTTGATTCATGATCAATCCATAAATATTTTGAAAGACATACATGTATCTCTGATGCCTTCCTAAAATTGTTTTGAAAAGGAAATTCTGTGCTTTTAACCTCACTAGGTATTTTTTCTGTGAACCTTCCAAATCCTCCAAAATCCTTCTCCTTGCAAGAACTAAGGACACATGCTTTGTACAGTATCCATGTGTCCCTTGTAAAATGACAGCATTTCAGCCGTACCCTCTCAATTCTCAACCATTGTGCCCAACACTCTGGTAGTGTCTGTGATCAGCCCTGGTCACTGGTGGACTCTAACTGGAGTTACATAACCAATTTACAGCATTTTTAGTTGTCATTGTTTACAAAGTGAACAAAAATGTAGAAACAAGAAATTTAGGTCCTAAGCTGCACTGGACTTGGAACTCAGGCTGGGCACCAAACATGACTACTTATTTAAAAAGCTCTCGATGTACTTTTTAAATTGCTACACATCTGGATGCAACAATTACAGACAAATGAGCAAGACCATATCAGTATTCAAGGATTCAACTTCTTTCTTTTCCCTGCAGATCATACAAGTAAAATCGCTGACAGTCGTCATCAAACTTCCCTCAGGTGAAACCCTTCCCCTGACGATCCAAAATGTCACCACTCTGCAGGAGATCATTGCAAGAATCAAAGATAAGCTGGACAAACAGGGAGTAGCCAACAATCTAATCTACAAGTTGAAAGTAAGTTAGCTTAATTGACAGTGTCATCTAGTGAATGCCTTCATTGCCAAATTGGACTGTAAAAATATCTAGTGTTTAGCATAAACATATTCATTTTCCATAATTCGCACATGATCAGAGTATAACAAGTTCAAATTTCTAATGGAGGCACAACTTGCGTTTCTTTTATATAAAAAAGTTCACTTTTGTTGTTAATCCAAGCTGGTGTTGGGTGGCTGCCCAAGCCCGGAGCAAGAGGGAGACGTGAACCTCCCACATGAATAGAAAAACTAAGTATTGTATTCACTATTGGAATCCTTTTGTTATGCAGCTGAAAGGTAAGATTTTGACTGGTGATAAGAGTCTGGCTGAAGACCTTGGTGTTGAAGATGAGGCATTATTGGAAGTTGTAGAACAAGCTGCTAGCGCTGCTTACTATGATGAACCACAACGGGAGGAGGAATTAGATCCAGCAATTCTGGAGGTAAGACGACAATGAAGATGGATACAAGAAGGGTTTAGAAGGGATGAATACCATGGAAAGTCTTGTGAATAAGATTTCAAAAAGTCTGGTGCAAATAGCCTGAGTAGCTGAAAGTGCCATTAAAACAAATCAACTTCTCAACAGTCATCAGAGCTTTCTTTTTCACACCCCCCCCATTTCAAATAGTGCCTTCCTGGTATGTTGAAACAATTAATGTATAACAATTCACATGAGCCAGTGAAGTCAGCTTACTCCCAAACTGGTTCCCACAACCTCCTTGGTTAGTATTTAATGTAGGCACTGAGAACCAGCCAATTTCAGCTCCCAGCCAATGACATTTTGTTTGACAGTACACACAGTGCCCTCATCAACATATGCATGGAGAACATTCAACAAATTGTGTGCTCATATTGTACATGAGGCTTGGAGAATGGCAACAGTCTGGTAACGTTTTGGATCAATACTGCCAGTGGTGACATCCTCCAACAGAGAATTTGTTTAAAGTGTAACGTAATCTACATACATGTATTATGTAACATCTGACTGAAACAACTAATGTGTTGACAGGAGCTGCTTGCTAATTTTGCTGATGGATGGGATAAAAACCGTAAAGTTGAAGTAGTCTTTTCCTTCGACACAACTGGTAGCATGTATGAATCTCTGAGTGAGGTAAATCAAATGAAATTTTAAACAGTCAAATTCTCAACAGCAGTGGAGCATTGGAGTTGCTACAAAACTTGTACATGCATCTTTGTATGTGAGAATTTTAGAAAAATAAGAGACACAGAGATTTCAAATCAAATTTGATTTAAATTTAATTTAAATTGTCGTGAATGTTGAGTGTGGAGGATTTGAAAAGTAGTTAATTCACAAGGGCCCATCTAGTATTCTGTGATAATTTTCTGACTTCATGACGAAATTCCTGAAGATATTGGTTCTTAATCTTAGTTCATTATTTATTCTTCACCATTCACGTGTGGCACCACGCAAATACAACTATTTTCAGAAGCCTTGGTAACAAACTTGTTATTAAATGCATCTATAGAAAAATGCCAACTCCATGCTTACTCATAAAAAACTGGAAGTACTCATGCAAACTGACTCACATGGATTTCTCTTCTACCTTGGCAGGTGAGAATTAAACTAGATAACACAGTCTCTCGCTTGCTGAGAGATATCCCAGGTATAAAGATTGGAATCATGTCCCATGGAGATTATTGTGATCAGAGTACCTACGTCATACGTTCCATTGATTTGACTTCCAATACTGAGGATCTACTGACATACATCAACCGTGTACCACGAACTGGAGGAGAAGGACCATATGCTGTAAGTTGAGAAGATTCCAAGGATGTCATTATTTGGAAATAAATCAAATAATAGTTGGAAATAAATCAAGCTTTAGACATAATACCCCTTCCCCAAAAATTGGGAAGAAATAAGTTCTCAAAAGTCACAGGTTTCATATGTTGCTTCCAAATTGCCAAATGATTCTTAAGGTTGGTGGTTCTCTGTAAATTTCTCACCAACTAAGAATATCTTATTCCAAGTGGATGGATTACCTGACCATTGACGGTTTCTACCATTCTACCTACTTACACTAGTACCCATTTATTCTCCTTGATGGATAGAGGTAAATAAGGGTAAAGTGACTTGCTAGAGACACATCACTCGACTAACAGCAGGAAAAAAAATCTGGTCCCTCCGGTCTTGTGTCAAAATGTTCTTAGTAACATGTAAAGTGGATTTCAAGAAATGAAACCCCATACTTACAACCAAAACAAAAACTAATGGTTTTAAAATTTGAGAACTTTTTGTCTTATTTCTGCTTGTAGTGCTATGAGTGGGTGTTACACAAAGCCCAGGAACTGTCTTGGAGTGAAGATGCAGCAAAGGCATTGGTCATTATTGGAGATGTGAAACCACATGCAATCAGTCACACTGACCAACGCATTAACTGGCATGAGGAACTGGAGAAGTTGTGTCAAATGGGTGTGAAGGTTTGTCATCTCCTTGTTGAAAATAGAACATCAAGTCCAAATTGTTATTTCAACAGCCTTTTGCTTTTTCGGTTGGAAAGGGTGAAAAAAGTTACATCATTACATTTGTTAGTTAAGGGGACCTGATTTGATTTTTAAGAAAATTTAGAGTTTGGAGAAATATCTGAAAACTAATTTATAATTAAACATTTGGGGGAACATTAGAAAAAATGTGATAAGAGTTTTTTCTGACATTTCTCAGAATCTTTGAAAATGTGTGGAAATTTCTGGGTAGAAAATGGCCTCACTTGTGTGGCACCAACATGTGGCTTACCAAATTGATGCAATCTGACCTATTTCTCTATCAACATTTCTGTTTTTTGTATGAAGATTTATGGTGTCCAAGTCAGGAACAGTGATTCTGACAAGAACTTCTACCAAGAGCTGGCTGAGAAATCCAGCGGAGCTTTCATCAAGTTCCAACATTTCAACTATCTGACTGACATGTTCCTTGCTGGTAAGTTCCTCTGATACAATATAAGCATTACAAGGACAATGCATTAAATGAAATGAAATGATACATCATGCTTCTGAATAATTGTTAACAATTATTAACAGACAGTGATTTACATCCATAAGTTGAATAATAAATTTGACTCAAGTGTGAACTCAACTTTGACCTCCAAAATACTGTGTTGAATTACATGTACGAATAGGGCTACCTACATTTACAAGTAAGGTGTCTTTTCCCAGGCCTGAGATCTAGCACACAAAACTGATATTCCTAATAATTCAGGCAAACTCTCTGCTACAGAAGCAAAATATAAAAACTTTACTTGGTGAGAACGTTGGAGGGTTTCTGTGTCATCTCTTGAGTAGTGTGTTACCGGGAAGCAGGGGAAGAGCAACTACAGCAGTATGCAGAGGAGGTGAAACAGGAAGGTAGGATGACTGAAGAGCTGACAGACATGTTCCAACAACTAGAGGAGAACCCCTCATCCATGACAATGGAAAAAGATGAAGACGGCAAGGAGATACCTAAAGAGGCAAGTATTTCAGTCAATATGAGACTTGAGAACTAAACAGGGTCTGCTATTACAATGTCAACATTTTTGACATGCAAATCTACGACAATATTTTAGAGATGCAGACACAGATGAATGTTTTTCTTTAAAGTAAACTGACACATTTACACTCAGTTAGTAAGAAATATTCCGAAAAAACTTCCAGTTTTCTCCTACTGAATTCCATTCAATCCCAACAACTGGTCATCCTTTGCATAACTTATGATATTAATTGCCCAAGAAGAGTAACATTCTGTCTTTTTTGGATGAATGAATCTGAAGGTTTGATCTCATATTGCATTCCATCAGGGCCCTCGCTATGTAGCAGAAGCATGGTGGGATCCTGAGTTGGACCGTGGTAGCCCTGTTTATAAATACTCCACAGACAACGACCACTGGTCTAGAGTTCAAGACTACACACATACATCCTATGTATCGACATCAGGTAATGTAACACAACCTTCATGGCTGGAAAAGAGACTAAGTGCCCCTATATTGTTTGTGCAATGACAAATATGCCCTTTTCTTTGAAAGAAACTAGCTTAGTCGACCAACATGTTAATTTGGCAAAAGAGTGTTGACCATCAGCAAGGCAGCTTTTTCAATTTTCAATATTAGTCACATACTACATCCACACTTTATTTGCACATCTATAATTTTTTCAGTTTTGATAATGTGATGTGTTTATTTTGCAGCTCATGGCTCTACCTGGTCCAAGAAAAGTCACAAGTTTAGAGGCAACAAAGGGAAGAGCTGTTCAATCATGTAACAGGAATGGTAAATACCTTGGAGAAGTGACTCGGTGTCAGACAGTCTCCCTCAGATTATTGCTATGGTTACATTTTGTCAAAATTTACGGTCATCTTAGAAATTGGTAAGTTCCACCCTAACGTGGGCATAATGTAACATTGTCTACTAACATAAAATGGTCTTTGAATTGTAAGGAGACTGAAGTATCTCACCATTCAGTATAAGTTTACATGGATGTATGTTTGCTTTAAAAATGCTGTTGACTTTAAAAGGCAGAAAATCTGGCTTAGGGCTCCCTCACAGGGTTCACTCAAATGAAAGAATCTTGACTTTTATTGGTTCATGTATTTTATAACGTGCTGTTGTGACAAAAAATCACTTAAGTTTAGGCACTGACTACTGAATAATATGACAGAAGAATCTCTCAATCTTTACAACAATTTGTGTAATTTTTTTGTATTGCCAATTATACTTGCTGTGTATATTGCTTTGTAAAACTTTGGTATATTTCACATTATTTTTGGGCCAACCATGCCCCTCATACTTTTTTTTTTTTATTTGGTAAATTTGAACAAGTCTTGTTTCATTCCTGTGTTGCTGTATAGAACACACATTTATTAAAAAAAAATGTAAACAAATGCTAATCTAAAAATGAATTTCTACCAAGAGCTGTTTATAAATTTCTGTTTGTTCTCAATATGGCATGGCCATTAAGACTCCCAAGGAAGCTGTATTTAGGATTTAGATAATCGCTAGAGCGTGTGGTGACAATGATGTTTTTCTGAAGAGCACTGTTATTAAATGGTTTGACATATGCCATCAGCCAGCGATTATGATTCTGAAATGTAAGCTTGGTAAATTCAAGAAGTCTGCATGTACCTTTTTAAGATTTGATGTCCAGCTTGCCAGGGAATACTTTCTGTCTGATATAGTCTTCCCTCTCCTGAGATCCAGTCAACTTGTCCCATTCAAAGAACGGAATCTAAACAGAAGTTAATACAGCATTGATCAACGTAACAAAATAGGGTGTAAAATGAGAAGAACATGAAGTGGAACCTTCCTGAACCTACAAATCCACTTCCACATTTTGTAGGATTTTAATGGATTCAGGAATCTGTTACTTGGGATTTCAAATTTTGTCTGAAGCACAAAACCTGTGCCATTTCATTCCTACCCAAAATGTTTGACTTTGAAGGGTTCAAGCTATATTTCCAGCAAAAGTAAGTGTTACCATGATTCACCACATTCTCCAAGTTCTATTCCTACAAAAACTGAGCATGATTCTGTAGTAGCTGCAAATTGCCTTTTCAACTCACACCACATGCAAATGCCGAGACAAAATCAAATGTGCTTTCAATTAAAATTCAATCTCATCAGTACATGCAACAAAGATTGTAACAAACCAATTCAAAATAACATTTCAAGAATCAAACCAATTCCTGTACTCACATCGACAGTCTTGTATCCCAGCTTCATAAGTTGTCGCTTCTTCATGGAATGCAGACCTAGCAACTTCTTGCCATTGAAGTGGAAGTGATTACGGGACCAGATTAATATGGCTAATCTGCCGAACAAAATACAAAGAGACTGATAAAGTTCACGGTACCTGCTGCTACATCTGACTTGCACCAGCCAGCCAATCTCAGCAAGTTCAGTGGTCGATTGGTTAAGATATCTGCACTAGAAAGCAGGAGGTCGTGAGTTCAAGTCTCACCCAAATCAAGCTTTTTTTTCACAAGCTCTCGGACGTTCACATTGAGCTATGAGCATGTAAACGATGCGATGAGCATGAAGGGGTTATTAAAAGGTACAATTTTGAAAGAATGCAGGATTGTTCAAACATGTTTGATGTTACGAATGATATGTCTGAAGGAATACTTACCTGTTTCCTTGTAGATCTTTACTCAGTGGCCCAGGAACATCAAATCTTGATGACCAATCAGGATGAACTTTCTTTTGTGCAAACAAAGCTGCTCTGTCCAACACCAATCTGTCCACTGCAAGCGTCCCGTCAGATGGAATGTCAGACTCTACTGAATTCCAATTTCTCCTGTCTGCTGTATCTTGCTCCCTATTGTCTTGGGGTTTTTCATCTTCGGAGGCTATTCTTATTTTGGTGGGGGTGCTGGATGCAGTTCTATTTCCTGTTGGGGGTCTCAGTCTCCCAATATTTATCCCAGACAAATTGTTGATAATGGAGGGGTCGAGTGGCACAACTTTCTCTCTTGACAACTGCGATGACGACGGTGCAAGGTTTATAAATTTTCTAGCTGCTATGGGATTGTTGTCTGAGTCCAGATGAATTTCAATATCTGGAAAGCAAATGCAAAATAATCATTGCTAGAATTGAAAGCGATTTGACTTTTGGTGTGATAACTGGCAACTTGGCCACATAAAGGTTAATGACGATTTATACAGACATTGATATACTTGCAAACTACCACCATTGGGATGGATAACTCAAGCAGTAGAGCATTGATTAGCAGTTCTAGAGATCACAGGCACATATTCTGACACTAAATTTTCTGTGTCAGTTTGATAGTTCATAGTCAAACATTATGATTATTAATCCCTCACGCTGACTGAAAACAACATTGATGGTTTACCAGCTGATTTCATATGTGGCAGAGTAAAACCAAGCTTGATGTACTGCTCTCCACCGAGAATGGATGCAAGAGATGAGGAAACTTCTGCTAGCAATGGACGCCTAGAAAGCTCATATTGAAGACTACCAAACATTTTGGGAGACAACGGTTTTCTCAAGAAAAAATCCTGGGGGGGTTATAGGAAAAGAATAGCAATTACAAATGCTGTAAAACAAAGGTTCTTCTCTCGTGTTTGTTTCATTTGAAATGTCCACAAAGTGAGAGCTTAGTATTTGAGTTTGTGGATGATTTGATGTCCCTTTCAAATAAAAGGGTTTTCAAAGAGTGGGGAGGATTTCTTGACTCCACCCATCGAATGGATTTCCATTAGAGTGCAAAGTCTTTGAAAACTACATACATAGTTGATAAAGCAGAAGAGACTATCCAACCTTTACCATGCTGTTGAGTAACCTTTGATCTTTATACCTTGCTCAGACGGTTGCCTTGGTAGTCGGGACATTCAATCTTAACTGAAGAATGCAACAGGAACAAGTCTCTGACTGGATCAATATGAGACCTCCTTGCATATTCTGTGGAAGAAAAGAAACCAGATAGACATGAATGCAAGGAGAATCCAACTCAGTACTAACCCTTAACCATGAAGCACTCCCAATCTCCACCATCCATATGGAATTTTTGGCTGGAGTTGAACCACAGACTGAAGTGGTTTGGAACAAGTCAAGTCAAAGGCCCAATCATTCACCACACTCTTGGACAAGGTGATTAATGCAAGATCCTGATAAAAACCACTCAAGCAGAAGCACTTGTACGCTCACCTTCTATCTTATGGAGAAACATTGGACTGAAGACCAGGTTCAGCAGCTCAGCTGGATAAATGTTGAGGTAAGCCAACGACAGAAGACCAGAGACAAGAAACACGGGAAAATCCTCATATTCCTCAAGGAGTTCAACCATCCGCTCCAATAGTCTTGTAAAGAATCTTTCTGAATCTTCAGGGTGGTAATTGAGTGTAGCAAAGGACCACAGAAATTTGGAGACATCTTTGCAACGGCACTCCTGGGAGCGCTGAAAGAGGACTTGTGAACCTGCCTCTAAAAGTCTGTCGTGATGGATGTGCAGTGTGGCAAAAGTGAGAAGCACATGCATGATAGCAGAGATGGGAAACTCAGGAAGACGTGGACTGATTTCCTGACTGATATGACCGAAGAGGCTTCTATGACCAAAGTAGGCTTGCCGCAACACCTTGACAGAGAACAAGAACAGCTATTATAGACATCATGACTGTTTACAAGTCGTCACAAAATTAAAGTTCTTTTTAGCTGAAAGAATTTTAGAAATAGTATTAGTGTCATTGGTACTTGACACCATCAACAAAACACATAAAGCAAAATAAACACTTGAACTTTTTAGTGGCTTACAAATCAAAGTGAATACAAATATGCATTTTAACAATGTCAAGCCTTATAGTTTTAAATTTCATTCAATTTATGCCCAAATCTACAACATAAAAGGGTTTCTGGTAGAATATAAGGTTCTACAAATGAGTTCAAATGATTTCCATCTACCTTTAAGATGCCAACAAGGTAGAAACTGTGGACTGAATCAAACTGCTCGGAGTGTATCCTCTTAGCAAGGCCACTGACCAAGGATGACTTCAAATTTGTCTTAGATTTGAAGAAGCCTTGGCAGACAGCTCCAAGCTGTGTCAGGGTCAAGGAGTCCAAGTTCTCCAGAACAAGCTGCTGAAGACTATCAAGTAATTTTCTGTGGCAATGGCCATTTTCCCCGATCAAATACATCAACTGGACCACTTGGTACTTTGTCAGTTTATCTGATTGCGATTCAATCTGACCAAAAATCTTGGTGTTCAATGATTTCACTTTCAGACCAATAAGCCTCCAAGCATCACAAACCAATAAGGATGTGTGGACATTCCAATCCGGGTATCTCTTTTCACATTCCGTCTCAAATAGCCGCAGAGCCAGGGTACTGGTGCGGATCTGAACTCTTGCAAACAAAACCAGAACTTTAACAAATTCATTGGTCCCTAGCTCCGAGCACTGGTGGCCAAGAAACTCAGTTAAGTCAGCAAATCTATTGTCATCGGCCAATCCTAAGAGGACATCATCACTGCACTTCAGAAAGGATTCTAGAAGTTGCTTCAAGTCTTCCTTGCCGGTACCAGTTCCAAGATGAAACTGATCCGGAAAGATTTTTGCATTCATTGTGTGAATGTCTTCACCCATGTCTGCTCTTGCAACCTGTGGGTAGATGACAGCTGTCTCACTGTATTCGTCGGCCTCCCTGTAAAAATGTCTGGGAGTGAGCTTGGGATGGAAAATCTCCTTCTTTGAACCATTTTTCTCCAGCACCCATCCCTGAGGCAATTGTCTGAAGATAACTGGATCTAAATGCATCCCATAATTGATATAAGAACGTTTTCTGGATTGCTCACCTCCAGTCTTTGTTGCATTCACTTTGTTCACTTGCTTGATGGGTTCAGGCAATGACATATTAATGTGAAACAACCCAGGCTGGAATATTTGTTTAGTCTGATTCCTAACAAGATGGTTGCTTGATAACTTATCTTCATTTCCTTCACCAGATGACATTTGCCCTTGACTGTAAAACCATCTTTTCTTGAAGTGAGAAGCCATCAAACTCCTATTTAAGGTGCAATGCCATTTTCTAAGAAGAGGTCCAGGAAGCACACAAACAACACGATGTGAAAATCTCCAGCACATCCTGAAATTTCAATTGGAAACGTTGTGTCAGATTGTCAGAATAGACACTTTAAAAGGCACCGAATGTAATAGTAAGAATAATGATCTAAAATAATAACAAAATAAAATAAATAATAAAATCTACATGTAGGTAACAACTAGCAACATGACTAACCAGCTAACATGTTTGTCAGGATCAGCAATGTCGTTACCTGACTACAGTGACTGTCTTGTAGTTTACGGCTGACACATACAGGCAGGTTTCACACTAAAACCGTGTCCGAAACGGGCTTCCAGAGCTACGGCTAGGTCTATTGTCTGCGCATCTCCACGCATTTCCAATGGAGCAAAGACCTAGACCTAGCTCTAGACAAGAGATTCGGATGCAGCCTACATGTATGCTGTTACCTGGGTTATCTCAAATTTAACCCCGAATAGGCCGGACAGTGCATTATTTTCACATGCACTTCATACAAAGGACAGTTACTTGTCTGTCTGAATTAAATTCTTGTACACCATTGGAAGGCACCAGTCTTGACCTCATGCTGCATACATGAACACATGTGGCTTTACCAGCATTAGTTTTTTGTTTGCACGTAATGTACATAAGGCTGTGCTGAATATCCAAATTTTCCATCAATTGTTGAATATTCAGATTTATTTTTCAAATTTGAATATTCAAATGCAAAATTCATGAAAGGGAGGGAGAATATTCTTTTGTTTTAAATGAGAACAACTGTGCCATGGAGGCTTGTTTCATGCAGATTCAAATGAAAAGCGACAGAAATCTTACAACAATTCAAAAGGTACATTATTCATTAAAATACCGGTATTTAAAAGGAATATACACCTTCAACAGGAAAAGAAGTATTATTCATCTCTTAAATCTTGCTAAATCCTGGCTGGATATACTCCATGTGGGAAGCTATTAGAGTGATTATAACGTACAACCGTGCGTGTTATTGCAACTGATTTTGTAAATGGTTGTTCCTCAACAATCGGTTGGTACAACCGAATATTCAGATATTCGATCAAATTGAAGGTCAAATATTGGAATAGTGAATTATTTGAATTGACTCAGCCCTAAATGTACACATCAGGACACATCAACACTTATTTTTCAATGGCGAAACTGGCAAAATTCATCAGAAGTGTAATCAAATGCTGGGGGTTTCCAATTCCATGACAGGCACCATTATGCTATGATGCTGTAGCGAGCACAATTGAGAGGTCTGAGGTTGAGCCATGCACACATGCACCCGATTCTCTGGGTTGCCGCTTCTGCCGTGTGAACATAGTTACGAATCGCCCGGGTTGGCATGAAAGAGCGTAAGCTAAACTGCGGGGTGAAGTTTTGGGATGTGAAACCGATTCTCCGGGTTAGTTCCTACCTAGCCCCACTAGTGTGGCACAGACTCTCACTCCCGATGGATCGGGAGAGAGAGTCTGTGCCACACTAGTGGGGCTAGTTCCTACCCAGGTATGAAAAACTACTCAGGTAATTAATTACCCAGGTAAGTTCAGACTAGTGTGAAAAGGACTCTCTGGTAAACAGGGCCCTACCTGCCTACATGTACGTCACGTCGACGAAAGGAGAGCACAGTACTGTAGGACCCTGTTTTTACGGATCTATACTGTCCAGTCACCCCGTTTGCTTTCCTCATAACGTGTTATGCCTGCAGTGGCAATCGTGTAAAGATTTCCCATACATCACCTACTGCTGTGCAACTTAAGTTTCGTTATAAATAAAATGAAAATTGTGGTATTACTTCTTAGTCGAGTCTGCAGCTGGCAATAGCGGTAAGGTTAAGTTTATCGCGTCAGTCAGGCAAGCGTTCCCAGTGATCCCTTGGTTAGACTTCAGATGCAGAGCTAGAGTAAGTTGCCGGTGTTTGTAAAGGGCGCCCTCCATTGTTGGGTATATTTATTATTGTAGGTGACATGCATGGGGCCGGGGCCAAGGGGCGCTTGTTTAGCGCTTGAGCACTCAGACTTGAGTTTGACATAGAGTACCGGATGCTGCATCGCGTCGAAGCTAGCTTATTAGTTAAAAAGCATATAAAGGTAGGCTGTTGCTTTTAATCACACTAGTGTAGGATATCCGAATCATGTTAATGACACACGAAAGTTGGGGGATTCTAAATTTGGGTACCCAGTTCCCATAATTGAAGGAGTAGCTACTTTTTAACTTGTGAATTCACCTGAACGAAATGACTATTCCTACCTCCATGCGCAAATACTGCATGGGCAATGGGTGATTTTACACAATGGTACGGTAGGCCTACAGGTAGAAAGGCATTGGGAAGGAAAAAGGGGTTACGACTCAGTGCTCAATAACTGTAGGGACTAGGGTTGATGTTATAAAAAAGGGCAGGGTTTTGAGGGAAATTATAAGGAAAACTGAGTGTTTTAACACATGACACATTGTGGATTCGAATTTTCATGGCTACTTTATCAGTAAGAAAGTCATGTTTTCTCACAATTTACAATTTGAAATTTCCAAAAATAGGGTCAGCGCAATAAAGAGAGTGTTGCCCAAGTTGTTTTTTGAGGGGGGAATGATCAGTTTTACAAAATTAAAATGACAAAAACCTGGGGATCCCCAAGTATGCAATCCCCTCAATGTTGAGCATGCTTTTCATTGTATTAATGATATTGTTCAATTTGTTGTCATTGACTTTTTTATATATGGACATGATTGAGTAGGCACGATAGGCCTCATATGGTTCACCATGTTTTTTCCATCATGTTATTTATTTTGCAGATGTGAACTAGATGAAACTGCACCAATGATCCTGACATTTCTAGGGTTATTTCAGCTGTTCATGATGTCAGCAACTAGTCATGGTTCCTCGACAGTAGCTGACGGTGGACAGACATCAAAGAGTACTGAGGCAGAGCCAGGCACAAGTTGTGGGTGGGATGAAGAAGAGGAAGAG